TGAGATAGGTTTCCCTCTGTTGCCCAGGCTGGAGTGCAGTGACATGATCATAGCTTACTGTAACCTTGTACTCCCGGCCCCAAGCGATCCTCCCCACCTCCCAAAGTGCTGAGATATGGGTGTGAACCAGAATGTCCAGCCGTTATAAGTGTTTTTAAAGCTTAAATGCCAATATTTACAAATTTGGATACTTTAAAAATTATCTCTTTCCTGAGCACATTCCTACGTAGGAAGAAGTATCATCTGTTTGATAGCAAAGCTGGAAAAAGCAGAGGAAAAAGAGGCTTATATAATGTAAGAAATTCTCCTCCCTGGAGATCTAACAATATTCCTACCACATTCCAATTAACAATCCACAAATTTTGAGCTTTTCACATGCACATCAAAACAGCATAAAATCTCAGGAGACAGTAATGATGAATTTGGTTACAAATAAGACTCATTGGTCCAATACATCTGTTGAGCACCTGCTATGTCTAAGGAAGGCATTGTGGTGGACACTGCCCAAACTCAGAAAATGTCCCTATTTTCTCAGAGACTGCTGGTTTGGTTCTAAAATCCCTTCTACAAGATCCCAAAAGTCTCTCTTTTTTTTTTGAGACAGGGTCTCACTCTGTTACCCAGATTAGAGTGCAAACTAGGCTCACTACAGCCTTGACCCCCGGCCTCAAGTGATCCTCCCACCTCAGCTGCCTGAATAGCTGGGACCACAGGCATGTGCCAACATGCCAGCCTAAATATTTAATTTTTGTAGACATGTAGTCTCGCCACTTGACTTTGGGTCTTGACTTGGGTCTTTTCGGATTGCCTATCCTGACCCAAAATAAGACAAAGCTCTGAGCAAAAACAAAGCTCATTATAGTAGGATATCAACAGTCTCTCTAAAGATCACAGAATCAAGAGTGTGACAACAGAAAATTAAGACTAGTCTTCAATTGATACCAGTTGTTGAATTCATGAGAACACATGGTATAGGAAAATGGTTACCAACAACCGGTCTGTGATCAATTGATTAATGGTTGTGACAAACCAAGGGAAAAAAAGTTGGTAATGTAAGGTTTTTCATAAAGCTGAATGTGTTTGTTTTTCATGTCAGACAGGTAATGCACTGATATCATAACAAGATTCATGGGTGGCACATCTCACACATGTGCATGTACACCCACCCAATAATCCCACTCATGAACTACAAAATGATCAATTTGTTCATTTAAAACAACTCTCTCGGCTGGGAGCAGTGGCTCATGCCTGTAACCCCAGCACTTTGGAAGGCTGAAGCCAGAAGTTTGAGACCAGACAGCCTGGACACAAAGCAAGACACCTTCTCTGAAAAAAATATATGTATTTTTTTGAGACAGAGTCTCATTCTGTCACTCAGGCTGGAATGTATGGCATGATCTTGGCTCACTGCAAGCCTCCGCCTCCCAGGTTCAAGTGATTCTTGTACCTCACCCTCTCGAGAAATTGGGATTATATGCGTGCACCACACCTGGCTAATTTGGGGTTTCGCTATGTTGAGTAGGCTGGTCTCCAACTCCTGACCTCAGGTGATCCACCCACCTCAGCCTCCCAAAGTCTGAGAAAAATTAAAAATAGATTTAAGAAAACAAACTCGGCCGGGCGCGGTGGCTCAAGCCTGTAATCCCAGCACTTTGGGAGGCCAAGGCGGGTGGATCATGAGGTCAAGAGATCGAGACCATCCTGGTCAACATGGCGAAACCCCGTCTCTACTAAAAATACAAAAAATTAGCTGGGCATGGTGGCACGTGCCTGTAATCCCAGCTACTCAGGAGGCTGAGGCAGGAGAATTGCCTGAACCCAGGTGGC